TGCTCCCAGAAATCTGGGGTTCACTAGTCCCTGAAGCCATTCCTGGAGCTTTGCTGCCCATTTTGGTTACTAGGTATTTGAAGGGCTGAAATGGGGTGGATCCAGAATCAGGATAATAAAGGACTTTTCAAACCAGGATTTTGCCGGCCCGTAGCCTCACCTGTCACTGCCTTTTTCCCCCTTAAAACAAGGTCACCTGTTTTCCTCACACGTTCACACTTCCAAGTCTTTATTCATTTCTCTTACTTTTAGCTGAGTTACCTTCCCCCTTTCTTTCCACTCATCTAAGATTCCATATATGCCTTCTCTCGCTCGCTCTCAGGAACTCCTGAATTTCCCAGCCGGCCTCATCTCCTCTGAGCTCCCAAGTACAGCCTTATTTTTGGGCCTCAACTTACCAACTTGTGTGGGACCCGCTGGTAGTCTGGGCTCTCTTGTTAGTCCCTGACCTTCCCCTAGTACAGGGACAAGGCCACAAGGAAAGTTTGTCGATTTAAAAGCGGCTGGAGAGGGCGGCAGGACTGGTGCATACTGGTAAGATGCAATCTGTCCTGATACCAGGGATGTCTCTGGTCATTTTTCTCCCTGTAGGTTTGGGGGGCAGAAGGCGAGGACCACTCCAGCTGGACCCGAGCCTGAGGTTACCCACCCCAAAGCAGCCTCCGTACGGACATAAAAGCACGCGGTCACCGGAGGTGTCAGGCCAGGTTTTTATCGCGGAAGCGGGGAGGAGCGGGCGCCCAGTACGGCCTGTCGGCCGGCCTGCTAGTTGCCCTTGGGCGCCGCTTTCACCCTCATCTCGGCCAGTTTGTGGGTGAGGAAGCCCCACTTAAAACCGGCCACGGGATCGGCTTCGCGCGGCTCGGGGCGCTCGGGGGCCTCGTCCCCGGCTTCGGGGTCCGGCTCCGGGGTGGGCTCCGCTCCGCGCAGCATGGATGCGGCGGCCGCCTGCTGCTGCTGCCACCTGCTGGCTAACGCGTCCCAGAAGCCGGGCCCGCGCGCCTCGGCCGCCGCCTGCGGGGCGGGCTGCGCCGCCAGCGGGCTGCGGAAGAGAGGCGGGGTCAGGGGCTGGCCGGGAGACCCCGGAAAGGACAAAGGACAGGAGGCGGGATCAGGGGACCTGTCGTGGGGTCAGTGGGGCCCGGGCGAGGTCTACGGCTGTGGGGAGGGGCGCGGTCAGATTCTGGAGGCGGTGCTCCGGGAAAACCCGCAGAGCCCGGGGGTAAGAGGCGAGGCGGGAACAGGGGTCTGGTTTACCGGATAGAGGGAAAGAGGGTCCAGAAAAATGGGGGACGCTGGGGAGAGAACGGGTGCAGGGACCCCGAGGAAGGAGAAAGGCCTAGATCAAAGACTAAGGCCAAAGAGATGTCGGGAAGGTCAATCAAGGAGCGGTGATGAAGCTTGAGGTAGGGAGAGTCAAAGGGCAGGAGAGAGAAAAGGAACCCGGGGGCAAGAGAGATGGGCGGGTCGGGGGGAATCCAAAGGAAGAAAAGAATGGGGGGTGGGGGCTGTCAAAAGGGAAGTGTGACTGGGCTGGAGGAAAGGGCAGAAATGGAGTGTGTCCCAGAACAGAGCTAGGGGGAAGACCAGACCCTGGATCTGACCCTGTGGCCCCCAGCATCAAGGACCTGCTAAGACAGTGGTTCCTAAACTATTACCCTCAAGTCCTCAGGGAGCTCGCTGAAAGTATAGATCCCGGGCCTCAGCCGACACCCGCTGAATCAGAATTCTTTGAAGGAAGGTCTGGGAATCTGTGTCTGTCTCAAGTTCCCTGGGAGGATGAGGGTTTAGACCAATACTCAAGAACCACTGATCTGAACCTCTCTCTGTTCCAAACACCCAAAACTTCTCTCCTGGATTCCCTTATCCTAGGGAGGTGATCCCTCCCACATGGATGGGGAGAGAAACGGTAATACCTTGTAGCATCTCAATCCCAACAGCTGGTAAATTCCTCTCGAGATCTAATCTAATCTCCCAGATTGGCCTCTTTCCTGCTGAGAGAGAGAGAAACGGGAACAGCCCGGGGCTGACCCTCCCGAGTCTTCCATGGTCAGAAAGACGAAGCAGAAAGAAAGGACACGGGAGAAGAGGGTGCCCAGGTCTGTTTCAGATGGCCTCCCCTGAAACACGCACGTACTGCTCAGCACAGGGCTCCGGTGGCAGCAGCTTGTCCTCATCTTCTTTGTTAAACAGAGACGACATCGTCAGCCAACCTTTCACCCCAACCCCTTGAACCTGAGAGAGAGGGGCTGAGAGTCAAGGAGGGCCCCAGCACACCTCCCAGGACTCCACAGAGGCATCTGCCCAGCTCCCCAGGGTTGGGGCAGAGAAAAGGAGAACTCACCCGGCGGGCCAGCTGTGACATGGGGTTGAAGGCCTCTTGAGTGGGTTCTGCCATCTCAGACTCCACTAACTCTGGGTTCTCCTTCTGGGACACAAGACCCCACCCAGTATGAGAGAGGCCCCAGAGGAATACGGCCTCCCTTCCCTCCTGCCAGCCTGACGCACACAGAGCAGGTACTCCAAACCCCACGGACCAAGACACACCTAGCCCCCTGATACCCTCCCAGACTGCACACAGGTATTTGTACCTCTGTGCAAAGCTACCTGTCATACACTTTACCTGTAGAGTAGACCTGTGAGCTCATACACCTGCCCACCCACACACATTCATACACACTGCAAAACATATGGACAAAGGCTTGCACGCCAATGCAGACACACACCTGTACCTGAGTGTTACTCCATATGGCTACATAGATACATGTGCTGTGAGGCACTTACCCAAGGATGCTCATTCAGTTCACACCTGTGCTCTTCCACGACTGCAGACAGGTCCATGGAGGCCCACTCAGCACACAAAACTTCTCCACCCATCCACAGACTAGTGTGGAGGTACACAGATGTACACACACACCCAAACATGCATACCATACAAAAACAATACCTGTGAATGCTTCCATAGTCTTCTGCCCCAAATGTATACACCTGAAAATGCCTATAACCTGTTCACACCTGCACACACACACACCCCTTAACTGGGGATTCCACACAGACACCAACCCCTATACTGACCCACAGACGCTTCTACAGGGTCAGCCCTGGACACCAACCTGTGTAGACATACATTTATTCACACTGACATACACACACCTTAGAACTAGTTCCTGCCTCTGCCATGTCTGTGTAATCGCCATGCCTGTTGGCTCAGACGGTAAAGAATCCACCTGCGTTGCAGGAGACCTGGGTTCAATCCCTGGGTTGGGAAGATCCCCTGGAGAAGGGAACAGCTACCCACTCCAGTATTCTGGCCTGGAGAATTCCATGGACAGAGGAGCCTGGCAGGCTACAGTTCATAGGGTCACAAAGAGTCGGACACAACTGAGCAACTTTCACTTTTACTTTCCAGAGGTAAGACCCTTTTCAAAAACCTTTTCTTTAATGTCAGAACAAACATGGTCCAAGTAATGGCTCTGATCTGATGCTGCTACAGTGACCCTCAGTGTAACAAATGCTGCTTCCCCTACCACCAGTCCCAGGGGCTTCCTTCCTCTCGAAGCAAATCATCCCACTTCTGCTCAGCTCTGCCCATTAGAAACGTGTGTCAAACTGAGTGTATCTGCATGGGTGCTGCCCATGGGTCTAAAAGGATCCCTTCCATGTGACAGCCCTTGAGATCTTTGGAGACATTGACCACACCTCAGGTGCCCCCCCCCCCCAAGTCTTCCCTTCTTCTTTGGTTTTCTGGAATGTCCTGACTTTCTGACACTTCACCATGCCATTGGTCATCCCTGAATTGCCAGTTGCTTCCACACAAGTCCATGTCTCTCTCTCTCCCCTCCCCTCCTCAGAACCAGTCCCCTCTCCTTCTTCGTACCTTTCACTCCTGCTGCCCCCTACGCATGCCCCATCCAGCAAGCAGGATGGCACCCACCTCCTCTGCCAGGTCATCCTCAGATTCCCCACTCAGGGTCTGTAGCACTTTGGACTTGTAGGTTTTCCAGAAGGCCTGGCTCATGGCTGCATGGGAAACAGACCTGGCACCCAGGCACGGGAAGCTGGTGGTTCAGGGGGCACCCAGTGGGTCTGGCTCCAGGAAGCTGGTGAGTCTGAGAGCCTGTCCCAAGCATCAGGTGACCTCATTAAAGATGCACCAGGCTCCCCAGATGGCACAGTGCCCAGCAGGTGAACCCAATCCAAAAGAGTCTGTGGTGAGACCCACCTTCTGCCACTTCAGCCCCTATCTTGACCCATATTTGCAAGAATAATGAAAACATAATGAAGACATCTTTCTTCACAGAAGCCTCCTTCCTGGGCCTAGGAGTTCTTGAATTTGATTATTTGCAAAGGCTCCAGAAAAATTCTTTTCCATTCACAAATTCTATTCACAAAGTCTTTGGGCTCAGGACCCACAGTGGTGCCTCTGCGGCTGCAGCCATACCAGTTGTGCCGCCAGCAGGGCTCTGCCCTAAATCTGCACTCAGCCTCTATGAGCTGGAGCGGGAAGGCCCCAAGGCTCCCCTGGGTGACCTGGGCTTACATTTCACCGCTTTGGGCTGGAAACCGATTCCTCTCCCCAGGGATGCACGTGCTGGTCTCCCTGTTTCCTGGCAACAGGTTCCAAAGAACTGGAGCCCCTGAATTATTGCTGAGTTCCTGTGGTCAACCTGGAAGGAAAAACACACCTGGCTCTGATGCATGGGGAAAGGCTCTCTGGCCCTCTCCCCAGCCTGAGCACACACCATCTAGGCTGCTCTCTCCCTTTGATGCCAACCGATGCCTGAGAGTCCAGGGCTCAGAGCAAGGGGTCAAAGATGGGAGGTCCTTCTGTGAGACTCTCCTCGTGAGAGGAGCTGACCCCCTTGAGTCTCTGACAGGATGCCTGAGCACTGTGATCTCCGGGAGGAATAACTGGGGAGGGGTTTCCAATGGCGAGGGCTTTCCCAAGGACCAGAAGTATCCCTGTGGGAGCCGGGATCCCAAATGTCTTCACTCTTATTCACTTATTCATTTATTAACATCACAGACATTTTTCAGTGCCTCCCAGAGATGCAACACTATTTCCCCCCTCCCCTCAACCGCGGAATCTAGGATGGGGGAACCAGGAAGGTGTGACAAGGCCAGAGGACGGCGCTGAAATCGGTTGGGCCAGGCTGGATGGGCTTGGCCAGCGGACCGGCCGAAATACCCGCAGGGCTCACATCACCGAGCCCCCTCCAGTGACGGAAGGGGACGCTTGGTGAGGCCGGATCCCGAGCTCAGTCAGTGACGTCGACGACCGCCTGGGGGCGCTCGAAGCACGGCTCGCGCGAGTGACGTCATCATAGGCGGTCCGGTGGAGCCCGACCCATCCGAGAGCGTCATATGACGTCATCTAGCCGTCCGGAAGCGCCCCCACGTGTCCTCCCACCTCGGTTCTGGGACCTCTGATCCCGGTGTCACCCACCATGGGTCGCTCCCGCCGTACGGGCGCGCACCGAGCGCACTCCTTGGCCCGTCAGATGAAGGCGAAGCGGCGGCGGCCGGACCTGGATGAGATTCACCGCGAGTTGCGGCCCCAGGTCGCCGCACGGCCCCGGCCAGACCTAGGCGCTGAACCGGATCCCGATCTGCCAGGGGGCGGCCTGCATCGCTGTCTGGCCTGCGCGTGAGTTCCCGCCAGGCCCAGGCCTGAGGAGGAGAAGGGTCCGCGGTACGGGCCGGGGGTGTGAGGTCCGGGCCCGGGGTGTGCAGGGTTTCCTCTCTTGGGACCTGGGTGGGTCTGCCGGCCTCCCATGCCTTCAAGCCCGGAGCCTAGCGTCAGCAATGAGCTAGGGTCAGGGAAATAGGTGTACCCTGAGAGGCATCACCTTCTAACTCTCCTCCCTACCCACCTCATCCCTACAGGAGGTACTTCATCGATTCTGCCAACCTGAAGACCCACTTCCGATCCAAAGATCACAAGAAGAGGTATGAAGGAGCAAGGGGAGGATTGATGGGTGGGCTGCCGCGCAGACAGAGCTTGCCGTCCGGTCAGCTTTCAATTCCTATTCTTTTTTCTCAGGCTGAAGCAGCTGAGTGTGGAGCCCTACAGTCAGGAAGAAGCAGAGAGGGCAGCGGGCATGGGTTCCTATATTCCTCCCCAGCGGCTGGCAGTGCCCACAGAAGTATCCACTGAGGTCCCTGAGATGGACACGTCTACATGACTTGGCCTGAGGATGCGAGGCAGAGGAGCTGCCCATGGACGGTGGTACAGCGGCCAGGCTGGGAGAGACTGTGCCAATCTCCTTTGGTTTGGGGAGTGGATGGCCGCTTCCAGATACCCTCCCTTCCAATAAAGGAAATGTATAAATAGGGCTTGCCTCTGACTCATTAACCTCTGGGCCACTCCTCCAAATTCAAGCCCTGTAAAGATTTCTCTACTACTCCTGTGTACAGGACCGAGTGTTTACTCCCTGCTTGATTGAGCCTTAGAGCCTGCATCCTTGCCATCCGTCAGGGATCCTGGCATCTGTGCTGAAGACCCCTCCATTGGAGCCCAGGTGTGTGTGGGGTGATGGGTAGGATCAGGTTTATACTCTTGCTTACAATGAGGGCAGGGAGTGACCCCCAGGAAAAGAAAGAAGGAGGCTCCTGAGATTGTAGCCCCTGTGAATCCAGGGGCCGAGGTGAGAGGCTGTCTGCTTCATCATGGAGCCTGTGGCGGCCGCCGCTGCCCCACCATCTTCCAGACAGCATAGCAGGAGCCGCCCAGCCCGAGGATAGCCAGCACTGCAGCCACAATCCCCGCCAGCGGACTCCGGGGCTCTGCCTTCAGCTCCCCGGCTATCTGCATCTGGAGATGCACAGAGCATCCGCCTGAGGGGTCAGTCGAGACTACTGGAAAGGCAGGTGGGGTGGGAAGGGGCTCAGAAGCTACAGCTGGGGGAAGGAGATATGGATGCCATCACTGCCCCAGGGAGATTCCACCCCAATCCCTCTCGCTTCACTGCCCATCTGGGCCCTGGTTGCTCAGGCGGCCGGGAACGTGACAGCCTGGTGACTGGGTATCATCCCGGCCATGGTAAGGGGCGGACGGGGTCGGTGCTGGAAGCCATCAGTTGGGGTGCTTACCTGTAGCACTCGGAAGTAGCCAGGGGTCAGGCGTCGAAATCGCATGGTAGGTGCCGCTCGTCTCCTAGATGTCCTGTGGGGTGAAAGCCGGAATGAGGACCAGTGGCATTCATCCATGATACCAAGAGGTGGAAATCAGGGCATAGAGGTTCCTGACTCTCATACGTGAGAGAGCCTTGACCTCAGAGGATGCTCACCAGCGTCTGCCTTCCCAGGTCTGGCAGGGGGCGGGGCAGCTAGACCTTTAAATCTGTCCCTTCCCCCGCCGGCCCGCCCTGCCAGCCTTAGGAGCAGCTGTCAGGAGAGATCAGCATCAGGCCTGAGCAGCTCCTCCCCCTCCCACCGGGAAGTGCAAGCCAGGGCGGCAGGAGAGGCCTTGCCTGACTGTGTGGACAAGTCTCAGGCCTGGACCAGGTGTGGGAGGGCCTCCCCAGCCCTGGTCTTGGCCCTGTCCCTGCCTCAGGTAATTGGATGTCACCCGTCAGCTCTCAGCAGAGGAGGGGTTGGGTACCTTTAGCACCCCTTCCAAATAGGGGCAGGCCTTTTTTATTTGATTTCTCTTAGATCAACCACACCTACCTTGGGGGAAGGCATATTTCATCCCTTTCCTCAAGATGGAGTTCCTATAGGAACTTCCCTCCTTTCAGTAAAAGATCTGCATCTACTGATTGAAAAAGCTGTTAGAGGTGTACTAACAAAAATTTCCTGGAATTGCCTGGTGGCCTAGTGGTTAGGATTCTAGGCTTTCACTGTCGTGTCTCGGGTTCAATACCTGATCTAAGAACTGAGATCCTGCAAGACCTAAAAGCGTGGCCAAAAAAAATAACTTGTGCTGGGCATTATTCTCAGCACTTTATGTGTATGACTTCATTTGGTATTGACCATCTCATAAAAATGCAGAAAAGTGCATTTGCAGAATAGCATGTCGAGTGTCTGCATATACTATAGAGAGAAGGGAAGAACACCCAGAAAACTTAACAGTGGCCCATTCTGGGCAATGGGATGGGAACTTGCTGGGGAAAGGACACAACCTCCTTCCATTTGGGCTTCTCTCGTGGCTCAGCCAGTAAAGAATCTGCCTACAATGCAGGAGACCCATGTTCGATTCCTGGCTTGGGAAGATCCCCTGGAGAAAGACATGGCAACCCACTTCATTATTCTTGCCTGGAGACTTGCCAGTATTCTTTCCACGGACAGAGGAGCCTGGTGGACTATAGTCCATGGCATCGCAGAATCGGGCAGGACTGAGCGTCTAACACTTTCACTTTCCTTCCACTTAATGAGCTACTATTACCTTTGACATTTTTGCCGCAAATAAGTTCAAAGACCTTTTATAAACTCATAAAACTACCTTAAAAATAGAAGCTGCAGGGACTTCCCTGTTGGCCCAGTGGTTAAGACTGAGCTCCCAATGCAGGGGGCCCAGGTTCGATCCCTAGTCAGGGAACTAGATCCCACATGCTGCAACTAAGACCTGGTGCAGCCAAATAAATGAATAAATATTAAAAAAAAAAAATAGACGCTGCAGGACTTTCCTGGTGATACCATGGATAGGAATCCTCCTGACAATGCAGGAGATACAGATTCGATCCCTGGTCCAGGAAGATCCCACCTGCCGTGGAGCCACTAAGCCATTGTGCCAAACTACTGAGCCCACGTCTAGAACCTGTGCTCCACAAGAGAAGCCACTGCCGTAAGAAGCCCACGCACCGCAACTCTGCATTAGACCCCACTCTCAGCAACTAGCGAAAGTGCAGTGAACATCCAGTGCAACCAATAAATAAATCTATTTTAAAAATCCATATTAAAAATTGAAAAAAAAGTAGAAGCTTCCATTTACAACGCCTCTAACTTCTCAGCCCTGCCAGGTGCTCCAGGGCGGACAGTGGGTGCGGGGGGCAGTAAAGGCACCAATATGCCTGTTAGGCGCCCAGGCCTTTTCAGGGAGGATCTGAGTACAAGTGGTGAGTTCTTGTTGGATTCTCCCCTACAGGATTGTGAGTTCAGGGAGGTCAGGCTGGCTGGCATCTCACCTCTAGATCTTGTGCCCGCTCAGGGTAGGTGTTGGATGAAATCAGGATGATGGGGATACATCTGTGTTTATTGGAGCACCACAGGGAGGCTCGTGTGGGGAGAGGCAAAAACATTAAAGGAGGGAACAGCACAGAGGATGTTAGAGGGATACACGGAGAGCAGGGTAGGAGGACATGAGACCAAGGACAAAGCCAGAAACGTGAGGGCCAAGTTGTAAATTTGAGCCTGCTGGTTCACAAATGAGGGAGCAAGGCCTCTGGGGACCTGGCGAGCTGGCATCCCCTTGAAGGAAGCAGCTGACAATCTGCATTCATGCTTGATGCCACGTGCGAAGGTAGAATGGGGTCAACAGAGCTGGCCAAGTTCCAGAGGACTCAGTTTGTATGTGACATTCTTGAATGATATTTAACACACACACACACCACATGGACACCCGTGGACCAAATTCAGACTTTGGGTCTCTCATGATTCAGTTCATGACAGGCTCTGGAGGCAGTGGTAGAGAGTCCAAGTTAGGTGACACAGAGGGGGCAGCCCTCCCAGGCCCCTCCCCACAGAATTAAAGCAATAATAACTCAGATCTACCTCATGTTACAGGTTTCAAATATTAAAGGACATCCTCAGAGCTAAGGCCTAATTCCCTCCCTGCTCTTCTAGAGACGAAGAAACGGGTTCAGAGAGGTGAAAGAGGTGGACTCAGTCACATAGCAAGTGGAACTGATTTTTTTTTAATTGACACATAATTGATTTACAATGTGTTGATTTCAAGTGTATAGCAAAGTGATTTTGATAAATACAGAATATAAGAATATATATATTCAGACTCTTTTTTCCCTTACAAGTTATTATAAAACATTAAGTTTAGTTTTCTGAGCTATATAATAGGTCCTTGCTACTTATCTGTTGTATACATAGCCATGTGTACGTTAATTCTAAACTCACGTGGAACTAATTCTGCCTGATTCCAAAGTCCTGGGAGTTCCCTGGCCTGGGATGATAATGATGATGATAACTGCAGACACTTAGTATGTGTCAGACATTGTTCTAAAAGGAAAGCTCTTAACCTGGGCTTCCCATCTCATCAACTTGGATGGCAAAAAAATTATATATTTATTTCTACTGACCTCTCACCAAAATTTACCATCTCCTTCTTCATGGATTGAAGTATTAGTAGTATCTGTGGTTTTGCCACCAGTAGACGTCAAATTGTGGTTATCACAAGTATCTCAAAATGTTACTTATGCTCATTAACGATTTCAAAATGCTGACAGTTATTAACCCACTGCTAAATCACACTCTGTTTCAGACGCTCCTAAAACAGAGCTGCCATTGACTGTGGCCAGTAGAGGGTTAATGGCCAAATGGTGAATCCACCTGCTCTCGCACTGATGACTCAGATTCTCAGTCTCTCACACGCCTATCTGTAGTTGTTCGCTGACCAATAGGTATGAGGAGGTGACTCAGAGACCACCCCCACAATTCAATGTTATTCATGCTGAGTAACAATACACTGATAGCATTAGAAAAGGAAATTTTAATTTGCCAGCCCTGTTATTGATACATATTAAATGCATATTACTATATCATAAATTTGTGGGTTTTAATATATTTTGATAGTAATTGTCCTCGCAATCTCCAGCATTTTGCTTTATGTTTTTAAAAGCAATGTTCAGAGAAAAGGTCTAGGGTTTCCACCAGACCGTCAAAAGGGTCCACAGTGCAAAACAAAGAGGGGGCTGGAAACCAGTTCTAAAGGTTTTAGAGCTATTAATTCAGGTACTTTGCACAGCCCTCTGAAGTAGGAGCTAATACCCATTTTACAGACAGGGAAATTGAGGCCCGGTGGGTCGGTTTAGGCCTTGTCACACAAGCTAAGAAGCTGCAGGGTTGGGGTTTGGACCCAGGCTCTGGCATCCTAACCTTTCTGTGCCTCGCTGCTGTGACCACTGCTCATTTTTTGGTCCCTTTTTGAGAAGGCCCGAAGGTCAGGTCGCATCCTGCCATTTGAGGCCAGTTTTGGGCGGGGATCCCAGGTCAGCTCCGAGGTCACCCGTGTCACACACCCGTGGCACCACCCCCAGGTTTGGCAGCCCAGATATTCTGGGCTGCCTGAAGGGCGGGGCAGGAGATGGAGCGGTGGCCGGCCAATGGCCGTGAGAGCGCCTCACCTGGCCTGCTTTGTGGGCCCAGGTGTCCTAGTGGCTCCGCCCCCGGCCCGGCCCAGCCCAGCCCCTCCCCAGGTCGGGGCTCTGGGAGCGGAAATTCCTGCGCGGGCGAGGCGGAGCAGTTGCCGATCCGAGGGGCCGAACTTGGCCATGGAGCCAGTGGCGACCTGGACCCCCAGGAAGGTGGCGGCTTGGCTGAGAGGTGAGTGGGGCCGGGGCAGTGCTGGGCCTGAGGGGTCCTGGGCCGGGGAGAGCGAAAGCAGAAAGGACCTGCCGAGTTTGTCAGTCGGTTAGTCAGTCCGCAAGTATTTACAGAGCGTCTTCCGTGAACCCGGCAGAAAGGTAGTCGAGATGACCCCGGTGGGGTCCCCCGAGGACCCAGAAGGGGTCTGTCTTCCTTCCCCCCAGTAGCCCAGGCAGTGGTTCTGTAATGAAAACAGAAAGTGTCGCCCCAGCCGACCACCTGCAGTGTATCTCATCTTCCCTCTGCCCCCCGGGGCACAGTGGGCTGTAATTAATCCCATTTTTCAGATGCTGAAAACTCTACACCAAGCCAACGAGTGATTTGCTCAGGCTTTGGACTAGGGCCTGCCGGAGGTGTCTTTTCCCTCCCCCCACCCTGAGGCTCCCAGCGAGAGCAGAAGCCCAGGCCCAGCCCCTCCCGAGACCTCCAGGGAAGATGAGCCCAGGTGGGTGGGAAAGGGCCCTGGGTGCCAGCGAACTCAGAGAAGTGTGGACGGTCTGCTGTGGAGCCGGGAGATGGGATATGAGGACCACATTCCTCCTAGGGGGAGCCAGATTTGGAGGGGGGCAACTGGAGTCATCTGGGGACAGACTCAGGGTGACCATCCCTGGGAAGAGCTGGGACTCAGGGCTGGAGTCAGACTCGCAGATTGAGTTCCAGGCCCAGCCCCTCCGCTCATCAGTTCGGTGACCACAAGTCTCCGTTTCCCTATCCACAAAATGGGAAAGGCGACTTTGATCTCATGAGGTGGGACCAAATAAGACAATTGTGATGAGGGCCTGGCTCAATGTCACGGTCTGTTGGGAGAGAGACAACACAGCGCATTCACCGTGCACGGGAAGCGGGGTGCTTGAGGCCCACGGCCAGGAAGTAAAAGCTCATGAATTCCTAGTGAAGGGCTCCTGATGTCACACAGGGGATGGGGGAGGGCTGTTGGTCACACACATACCCCGTAAAGGACTCTGGCTTGGAATGGCAGGGGTTCCTTCAAAGAGGGAGAAAGCCAACTATTAACCTCTCTGTGTATGTTTTCCCATCTGTAAAATGGGAATAACAATATCTCTACTTTCTAGATTTGGTGAAGATTAAATGTGTTAATGTGTATAAAGTCCTTAAGTTTTTCCTAGCACATAGTATTTATTTTTGAGTGTCTGCCTTATGCCCTGGCCGGAATTAGAGATGAACACTTGTTTTAAAGCCCAGTCCTTGGAAGAGCTCGTGATGGAGTAGGAGAGGTTGGTGCTCTGGTGCAGGGGTCTGTGGAGGCGCAGGGGGCCCCAGCCCAGCCTGGGGAGTTGTGGAAGGTTTCCTGGAGGAAGTTAGATGACCACGAACATGAGGGAACTGGAAGAGCAGTTCAGGCAGAAGGAAATGCACCTTCAGGGACCATGAAGCAAAAGCAAGAGTCTCCCGAGAGCTGCAGGGAGTGAGTGCTCTGGATTGAGATTGTTGAGCTTGACGGGCTGTGCCAAGAGATGAGACTGGAGAGGCAGGTGGTGGCCGAATCGTACGGGGCCTTGCAGATCATGGTAGAGAGTCTGGCAACACATAGTGTGGGGGCTGTTATTGACTGAACCAAGGGAGTTGCTCAAGCTGTTGACATGTGTCATGTCATTTAATAGACATGATTAGAAGTGATGTGTTTTTATTTTCCCCATTTTTTTAGGTGGAAACAGGCACAGAGTAATTCAGTTACTTGCTCAGTTGCTATCACTCAGGTCTCCCTGACTCCAAAGCCTCATCAATCACGACTTGCCTAAGCATCAGAACCCCTGCAGGATTTGTTAAAAAGCACATTGCTGGACCCTGCCTATAAGTTCACACCACGCAGCTTGCAGGATCTTATTAATAGTTCCCAGACCAGGGATTGAACTCAGGCCACAGCACTGAAAGCTCAGAATCCTAACCATAGTCACCATGCTGTACATTCTACCCCCCAAACTGACTTATAAATAGAAGCTTATACCTTTGAACCACCTTCACCCATTTCTCCCACTCCCTAATTCCTTACCTCCAGCAATTATCAGTCTGTTCCCTGTTTCTAAGACTTTGGGTTTTTTGGATTCTATATATGTAAGATAATACAGTATTTGTCTTTCTCTGATTTATTGCACTTAGCATAATACCCTCAAGGTCTATCCATGTTGTTGCAAATGGCAAGATTTCCTTCTTCCTGGTTGAATATTTGTGCGTGTGTGCACGTATGCGGGTGTGTGTGTGTGTGACATTTTCTTTATCCATTCGTCTGTCAATGGACACTGAGTTTGTTTCCATGTCTTGGCTATTTTTCTTTTTTATGGCCACACCACAAGGCTCACGGGATCTTAGTTCCCTGACTGGGATCAAACCCAGGCCATGGCAATGAGGGCGCTGAATCCTAACCACTGGACCACCAGGGAATTCCCAGAACTTGTATTTCTAACAAGTCCCCTGATGAGGATGCTGCTGCTGGTCTGGGGAACCATCCTTTGAGAACCACTCCCCTGTGTGATCCTACGTCTCAACTCAGTAGTATCCTTATCTGTGAAATGGGCAGGACAGAACACAGCCTTGGCCTCAGGGTTGACATTAGGAGAAGGGCTCTTCCACTGACCGGAAAGGCCTTGACACCCCCCTGGGTCCCCCGCGCTGACCCCTGCTCTCCCTCCAGGCCTGGACGATTCCCTGCAGGGCTACTGCTTTGAGGACTGGGAGCTGCCTGGCAAGTACCTGCTCCAGCTTTGCCCCCGCAGCCTGGAGGCTCTAACCGTGCGTCCTCTGGGCCACCAGGAGATCATCCTGGAAGGGGTGGAACAGCTCCGGGCCCTGGTAAGTGGATGGCGGCCCAACTGGCTGCAGCTTCTGCCCACCCTGGGGATGCTGATAGGGGGCTGGCCCCTGCCGGAGTTAACCTGCCCCCTCTCTGTACAGAGCGCGGGGCTACAGTCAGAGAACCTGCGGAGCCTGACAGAGGGGCTGCTGGAGGGAACCCGGGCATTCCAGAGCTTGGCCCGAGGTCGCTTGGGGGGCTGTGCAGAGCCCCCTGCAGATGTCCTTGGTGCGGCCGTGCAGCTGGTACACGAGGCCCGTTCCCTCCTCTTCTGGCTCAACAGGTACCTTTGTCTCCTCCCAGGGTCTGAGTGACTGGTGAGGGGGACCCTTCACATCCATGGCCTCCTCCAGGGACCTGGGAGAGAAAACGAGAGCTTGGCTCTTGTTCAGATATGGTTCAGTTCAGTTCAGTTCAGTAGCTCAGTTGTGCCTGACTCACTGCAACCCCATGAACCACAGCACACCAGGCCTCCCTGTCCATCATCAGCTCCCGGAGTTTACCCAAACTCATGTCCATTGAGTCGGTGATATCCAACCATCTCATCCTCTGTCGTCCCCTTCTCCTCCCACCCTCAATCTTTCCCAGCATCAGGGTCTTTTCTAATGAGTCAGCTCTTTGCATCAGGTGGCCAAAGTATTGGAGTTTCAGCTTCAACATCAGTCCTTCCAATGAACACCTAGGACTGGATGGACACCTAGGATGGACTGGTTGGATCTCCTTGCAGTCCAAGGGACTCTCGAGTCTTCTCCAACACCACAGTTCAAAAGCATCAATTTTTCGGCACTCGGCTTCCTTTACAGTCCAACTCTCACATCCATACATGAGTACTGAAAAAACCATAGCCTTGACTAGACGGACCTTTGTTGGCAAAGTAATGTCTCTGCTTTTTAATATGCCGTCTAGGTTGGTCATAAGTTTCCTCCAAGGAGTAATATGGTGGGACTAGCCAAAAAAGGTTAATTGGTCTGTGTAAGGGGCTTCACATTGGTCTGTAATGGGGCTTCCATGGTGGCTCAGATGGTAAAGCGTCTGCCTTCTACGCGGGAGATCCAGGTTCAATCCCAGGATCCCCTGGAGAAGGAAATGGCAACCCACTCCAGTACTCTTGCCTGGAAAATTACATGGACAGAGGAGCCTGGCAGGCTACAGTCCATGGGGTCGCAAAGAGTCAGACAGGACTGAGCGACTTCACTCACTTAAGGGCGCTGGGTTCCCTAGGTTCCCACCCTACCTCCAGCTTGTAACCGTGTCTCATCAGCAGCACCGCATAAGGAGCTGGCTGCCCCCTTCACTGGCCGCTGCTCGTCCCAGAGGTCCCAGCTCTAACATCACCTCCTCGGGGAAGCCTTTCCCGTTACACACTCCTAGCTTCCTAGGGGTCACAGGAGTAGAAGTTAAATCTTTTCTGAATTTTTATTTATTTTATTTATTTTTTGGCTGCACTGGGTCTTCCTTGCTGTGGGCAGGCTTCCTCTAGTTGTGGGATGCGGGGGCTGCTCACTGCAGTGGCTTCTTTTGTTGCAGAGCACAGGTTTTAGGGTGCAGAAGCTTCAATAGTTGTAGCTCACGGGCTCTAGAACTTGCGGACTTCAATAGTTGTGGCACATGATTGCCCTGTGGCACGTGGGATCTTCTCAGTCCAGGGATCGAACCCATATCCTCTGCTTTGGCAGGCAGATTCCTAACTACTGGACCACCAGTGAAGTGAAGTGAAGTGAAGTGAAAGTCACTCAGTCGTGTCCGACTCTTTGAGACCCCATGGACTATATGGTCCATGGAATTATCCAGGCCAGAATACTGGAGTGGTTAGCCTTTCCCTTCTCTAGAGGGGTCTTCCCAACCCAGAGATTGAACCTAGGTCTCCTGCATCACAGGCAGATTCTTTACCAGCTGAGCCACATGGGAAGCCCAAGAATACTGGAGTGGGTAGCCTATCCCTTCTCCAGCGGATCTTCCCGACCCAGGAATTGAACCCAGGTCTCCTTCATTGCAGGTGGTTTCTTTACCAACCGAGCTATGAGGGAAGCCCATAAATCATTATTGGACCACCAGGGAAGTCCCTAATCATTATTGATGCAATTATGTATTTAATATGTCTCTCCAGTGCCTAGAACTGGGCCTGGCATTCATTAAACACTTGACAAATAAATCCTGTGCTAAAGTCTTTTGATGTATCAGTCATCTCCTTCAGTTCAGTTCAGTCGCTCAGTCGTGTCTGACTCTGCGACCCCATGAATCGCAGCATGACAGGCCTCCCTGTCCATTACCAACTCCCGGAGTTTACTCAAACTCATGTCCATCGAGTCGGTGATGCCATCCAGCCATCTCATCCTCTGTCGTCCCCTTCTCCTCCTGCCCCTAATCCCTCCCAGCATCAGGGTCTTTTCCAGTGAGTCAACTCTTCGCATGAGGTGGCCAAAGTACTGGAGTTTCAGCTTCAGCATCAGTCCTTCCAATGAACACCCAGGACTGATCTCCTTTAGGATGGACTGGTTGGATCTCCTTGCAGTCCAAGAAGAGTCTTCTCCAACACCACAGTTCAAAAGCATTAATTTTTCGGCGCTCAGCTTTCTTTATAGTCCAACTCTCACATCCATACATGACCACTGGAAAAAGTCATCTCCTTCACCCCAAACCAAAACCCATCAGGACCTTAGATGTGTAGTCGGCTCAGGGTGGTTCAGTGAGCTGACTGTTAAGCTCAGTCCCCTAACCACTGCTCCATCCTCCCCTCTGCCAGGTACCTCTTCTCCCACTTAAATGACTTCTCATCTTGCCAGGCGATTGGGGAATTATGCGGGGAGCTGGGCCAGGCCTTGCAGGAGGTAGGAGATCCAGAGGCCAGGCTTGGCTGAGGCTATAGAGACCAAGTCAGGCTAGAGCTTTTTATAACTTGTGAATCAGCACAAGATCGGGGGTGACAGCAGGGAGCGGCGAGAGCAGGAAGAGAGGAGGCCCGGCCACTGGGGAGGGGGTGAGGGGGTGTGGGGGCTCCTAACTGGCAGGGGCAGCTCAGCAAGTTTGATCTCAGGAGGGTGTAGAGCGGGGGAGGGCATGTGTGGTGACCTCTGGGGGCCCAGGGTCAGGGAGATGGGACCTCGGGGCCGAAGCTCTGCTGCCATGTCGTTCTGGGAAGGGGCCAGGGTACAGGGTACGCTGGGAGGGACCGCAGGGAACCCCCCTGCCCTCAGGAGGAGGCAGGGCACCCTGCTCAGGGCCGGCCCCCTCTCTCTCTCTGCTTCCAGGACTGTCCAGCGGCCGAGAAGGAAAGCAAAGTCCTGAGGATTGTGAGTCAGGGGCTGAGCGGGCCAGGGGGATGGGGTGGGATGGGACTCAGGCTGCCCTCCATCCTGCCCTCCATCTGCCAGAGCAGCCACGTGGCCGGGATCTGCTGCAACATCCTGAGCTGCTGCCCGGAGGAGCTGCTGGAGCAGAAGGCTGTACTAAAGCGAGTGCCGCTGGACGATCCTTCGGTGAGCCCTGACCTCTCACCTCTCACCTCTGGTCCCCTCAAGCAGCCTCATGTGGGCCTGGAAATCTGATTCTAGGATCCCACAGAGTCCTATCCTGTTACAGCTGGATGGTCCTTTCTGTAGACAAAGGTCCAAAGGACCTCCCCTGGGGTCTCACCGTCATTGAGCCCCTTCTCCAGTCCAGAGGGGCTGCAGTGGGTGGGGTCTCGGGTGACACATGCTAGCCCCAGGACACGGACCTGGCAGGTTAGGGGAGAAGGGGAGAGGACATGAACTTTTTTGCTTCAATCCTTGACCAGCTGGGAAAACCCCAGGCCTGCCCAGTCCCGCTCCTGTCCCTGCTTAAGCCTTCAGGAGAGTTGCTGAGAATCTGAAAGCTCAGAAGTCAGTAATCTGCGCCCCTCAGCCCTTGGGGGAAGAGGAGGCAGGGCCCAGAGAGGTACAGCAGCAAGCCCTGAGTCACAAAGCAAGTCGGGCGGTGCCAACTTGAGACCAGCTCTCTCCCCTTTCCACCCGCCTGTGAATCCTGGTGCCCAGCGGGGGTCCTGCCCGCTGGCCCTGCAGCCCCCCGGCCCTCAGTGACCACAGCCTTCGCCTTGCAGGGCCTGGAAATCCACACCACCAGCAGCTGCCTGCACTTTGTGTCTCGAGTGGGCGCCCAGGTGAGAGCCCTCCACCTGTCTCCGCCTCCCAGCCCCATAGTCCTCTTTACCTGCCGGCCAAGCCCCGTGAGGGTGCACCCCTCTGAACCCCACCTCCGACACCAGGTCCCCACCGACCCCCAGCTGCAGGTCCTGCCTGGAGACGAGATTGTCCAGGTCAACGAGCAGGTGGTGGTGAGAGAGGGGACGGGCACGGTGGGAGGAAGGGGTTCCTGAGTAGAACCCTGGTTGGTGGGTGGAGAGGTTCCCTTCCTTCGGGGGACCGGGGTGGTGAGCTGCTTGCCGGGAGGTCAGCCAGCTCACATGGGTCCGAGGGGCTCCAGGAGGCTTCCTGGAGGAGGGCGAGGGGAGGCTGAGCGCGAGGCTGAGAGAGTGATCTGAGGGGAGGGCTGTTGGGTTGCCCCAGAGGCTCCCGTACAGGTCAGTCCAGCCCCGTGTCCCCATCCCCTAGGTGGGCTGGCCTCACAAAAACGTAGTGAGGGAGCTGCTGCGGGAGCCAGACAGGGTCAGTTTAGTGCTGAAGAAGGTCCCGGTGCCGGAGACCCCACAACAGGTACCTGCCACCCTCCCTGCCCCCAGTCTTCTCTCAGACCCGGGTGTGGGCCCCAGCTCCATCAGCTGTTTCTGGTTGTTCCTTAGACCCCTCCTCGGCCCCTGGACTCACCATGCCCAGTGAGCCCATCACCGGTTCCGGCCTCCGTGTCTCCCAGGTAACAGCCTCGGGCCCCGGGTGGGTTTTGGAGGGTGAGCCACGGCTCACCTCATCTGTCCCCCATCGCTCCAGGACCCCCTCTAAAGACATCTTTGACTTCGACCTGTCTTCAAACCCAAGTCCTGGACCCAGCTCTCCTGCCTGGACAGGTAATATCAAAGCCCCACGTGTTAGCAGGTGTCCCCAGACAAGGCATGTGGGGTGTCTGACTCTGACCCTGGGCTCTTACACCCCCAGCCTACCTCTGGGCCTGGGTCTGAGGCTCATGGAGCCTCTCTCTCTCTTCTCCCGCCCTGACAGACGCAACCTCCCTTGGCCCCGAGCCCCTGCCCAGCCCCCCTGCAACCCCAGCCACACACCCGGCAGAGGTAGCAGGCACTCCAGAGCGCCCAGAACACCCTGATAGGGTAAGTTCAGGGGCTCAGCGCGGAGGGGTGTGTGGCTCTGGATGCAGACTCTTTTCTAACTGCCTGTGGTCCTTTCAGAGTCCTGTCCCTGGCTCCAGGAAAACAAAAGGTATGAAATGCACCTGGCTGGGCAGGTTGGGGGGTTTTCCTCTGATCTGAGGCACTCTTAGAAGGCTTTACAAGGCTGGGCAAGACCACCCTCCCGGCACACATCACACACTTCTCTTCCAGACACAGTTCTGTTTCTGGGGTAGACAGGCCTGTGCTCCCAGCCTAGACCTCTCACCAGCTCTGTGATTTCTGGGCAAACAGCTCGTTCTCTGATCTTCACCTTCCTCATCTCTTAAAATAAGAAGAGTCACCCCCACCCAGAATTGACCCTTCTCACAATCCAAGCACAGAGCATGGGTTCAGAAACATCAGCTGGGGGTGCTCGTGGGGGGCCAGGGAGCAACTTTAGGGGTCTGGGATGCCCCGCCAGCCCCTCACTGACCCTTGTGCCCTGCTGCTGCAGGCGTGGCGACGCGTCGGCGGGTGTCGTGTCGGGAGCTGGGCCTGCCCGACTGTGATGGCTGGCTCTTGCTCCGCAAGGTGCCCGGGGGCTTTATGGGCCCGCGCTGGCGCCGCTGCTGGTTCGTGCTCAAGGGACACACACTCTACTGGTACCGCCAGCCCCAGGTGAGACCCCATACACATATGCACAAGTGAGTCACCTCAGGACCATGGCTCCTGTTCCTCCTCCACCGTCCAGGCCCATTGGTGGTCACAGGTGGGCCTCAGCGTTCCCATCTGTAAAATGGGAACACTCTTCAGAGAGAACTGGGGTGTGTGCAAAAGCAGTTTGGAAAAGTTTATCACAGGCCATGTAGAATCACCGATCCTGCCCGCCTTTCCTTCCCCTTCTGTTAATTGCTCAAGCAATTGTCTGCTCATTCCACTAACATTCAAGGTGCCTACTGTATACCCAGCTCTGGGCTGGGCTCTGGGACATGGGAAAGAACTAGACCTTTTCTGTTTCTCAGGCCAGTGTGGACAGGGATGAATACACAGGGACAATACAGGAACATATAATGTGATGAAGGAAGAGCCCAGGGGTGGGTGGGATCCCTGCAAAGGTGACCAGTCCACCTGAAGAGTGGCGAAGGCTTCCTGAGAAACTAGTGCCTGATAGTGCCTGAATGTTAGTTAGACGGAAAGATGAAAGAAAAGCAGGCAAGGAGAAGAGCATTTTGTGAAGCAGCTTGGTCTGTGTCTGCGATGGAGCAGATGTATGAGCAGGCTCCTCTTTCCTGGCTCTTGCTCTGGATAGCTTGCCTCCCATTTCCAGGCACAGAGACACCCCTTGGTCACAACCCTACCCCAGCTTCCTGCCCTGAGCCCTGGGCATTGAGAGATGAGCAGTTAGACAGCCCAGGAGATGCCCTGCCCCACCCCACCCCTGCCCTTAGGAGCTTGCCTGGGCCTCAAGGGTGTTGGCGCTCCAAGCTGACCCTCACACTGTGATCCCGCAGGATGAGAAGGCCGAGGGTCTCATCAATGTCTCCAACTACAGTCTGGAAAGTGGACAAGATCAAAAGAAAAAATAGTTAAGTCCTGGGCTGTGACAGGCCAGGGGTGGGGAAAGAAAGGGAGAGGCAGGTGACAGGAGGGGCGGGGTGGGGGCAGCAGGTGGCTGGGATTCCCAGGCCAGCCTCCCTGGGTTCGGGATGGGCACCCCCAGGTGAGTGAGGCCCCTCTGCTCCCCGGCAGTGTGTTCCAGCTCACCCACAACGTGTACAAACCCTTCATCTTTGCTGCTGATACCCTGACGGATCTGAGTATGTGAGTGCCACCCTCTCACCCCTCACAGCTTGCATGTGAGTGCTCGGGGCCTGGGCTCAGGAGCCTGGATTCAGATCCCAGCTCTCTGAGAGGGCTGGTCAAGACACTCCCTTCTCTAAACCTCAGTTTCACCTTCTATAAAATGGACTAATAAGAATTCCTATCTCTCAGATTAGCTCTGAGGATTAAGTTAGAAGATGATGTAAGTGAAAGCCCCACCCAGCACTCTTGAGAGTCCCTTGGACTGCAAGGAGATCCAAACAGTCCATCCTAAAGGAAATCAGTCCTGAATATTCATTGGAAGGACTGATGTTGAAGCTGAAACTCCAATCCTTTGGCCACCTGATGTGAAGAACTGACTCATTTGAAAAGACCTTGGTGCTGGGAAAGATTGAAGGTGGGAGGAGAAGGGGACAACAGAGGATGAGACAGTTGGATGGCATCACTGACTCAATGGACATGAGTTTGAGTAAACTCCAGGAGTTGGTAATGGACAGGGAGGCCTGGCACGCTGCAGTCCATGGGGTCGCAAAGAGTCGGACACGACTGAGTGACTGAACTGACGACTGACAGACACCCAGCATACTGCTGCTAAGTCACTTCAGTCGTGTCCGATTCTGTGCGATCCCATGGACTGCAGCCTACCAGGCTCCTCCATCCATGGGATTTTCCAGGCAAGCGTACTGGAGTGGGTTGCCATTGCCTTCTCCAACCCAGTTTACTGACTCAGTGGAAACTCTCTGAAACCCATTTGCCCCTCCACAGGTGGGTGCGTCATCTCATTACCTGCATTTCCAAGTACCAGTCTCCAGGCCGGGCTTCCCTGCCCCGAGAGGAAGGTGGGTGTCTCACAGGACTGGATCCCACTGAATCTCACCCGAGCCTCTGCTTTCCTGGGGTGGGGGCTGGGAATCCAGTTCCCCAAGCCCACCCCATGGCTTACCCAACGCTGTGAAGCTTAAGTGGGTCGCCCCAACGGCTCCTGTCCACCCCAGACTGCTACAGCGAGACGGAAGCCGAAGATCCTGACGACGAGGCTGGATCCTGCTCAGCCTCGGTGAGTTGGGGGCTGGTGGAGGGGGTGGCCGGGTGAAGAGCAGGGCGTGGAGCTCAGACTGATAACCCTCCTCTCCTTCCACCCTGCCCGCAGCCCAGCCCGGCCCAAGCTAGGAGTTCGCTCCATGGAGATCCATCACCTGCAGCCACCCCGCAGGGCAGCCCGCAGACCTCCTTCAGTCCGGCGGCAACAGGTGCGGAGCAGAGTCGGGGGTGGAGGCGTGGGGGTGGGGGAGTTGGGGGGCGGGCACGGAGCTGAGACAGGGCTGGGGGCAGGGGGGCACACCCTCACTCTGCTCCCCCCTCCCACAGACAGCAGCGAAGGGGCCCTCGAAAGAATGGTCCGGGGGCTGAGGCTGGGTGGCGTGTCCCTGCTGGGCCAGCAGCAGCCCCTCACTCAGGAGCAATGGCGAAGCTCTTTCATGCGGCGCAACCGAGACCCGCAGCTCAATGAGCGAGTGCACCGTGTGCGCGCACTGCAGAGCACGCTCAAGGTCAGCAGGGGGCGCACAGGAGGCTGGCCGCTGGGCTAGATGTCTAGCTGGGCTTGATGTCCAGATGTCTAGCCCTCTTGGGCTCGGCCGCGGACCAGGCCGAGTTCTGGGTTCCTGGGGCCAGGCTCTCGACTTTGAGGATGGGGGCTGAAGCTGGCTGGGATCTGGGCGCTGGGCCCCGGAGCTAGCTCTGGGCTCGGGCTCTGCCCCTTCCACGGGTGATCCTGGCCCCTTAACCCCGACACCTCTTCCAGGCAAAGCTGCAGGAGCTGCAGGCCCTGGAGGAAGTGCTGGGCGACCCCGAGCTCACGGGAGAGAAATTCCGCCGGTGGAAGGAGCAGAACCAGGAGCTCTACTCAGAGGGCCTGGGGGCCTGGGGAGGGGAGCAGGCCGAGGGCGGCTCCCAAGTCCTGAACTCTGACCCCAAGGAACAGTCTTCCCACCCGCCACCCTCTGACTCTGAGGAGCACTCCCCTCTCTGCCCCCTGACTCCAGAGAGTGACCCCCGACCTCCTGACCTCTAACCTTGACCAGTACCCTAAGTTTCCGACCTCCGGCCTTGAGGACCACCTCTGACACATCTAGGACAGAGCATCCCTGCATGCTGTTCTGAGTTGGAGGTAGTGCTTGTCCGTGGTTCTGCCCCAAGCTGACTGCCTCTGCTCCACCTTTCGCATTTCTGCCCCTCTACCTGCCCTGGAATGGGGTAAAGTGAAGTGAGCTGTGTGCCAAGGAAGGAGCGAGAGGCAGGGGTGCAAGAACTCTTTCTTACCTGTGCTCTACATGTGCCCCCTCCGCCCCTCAGCACATCTCCATTCCCCAAGCCAGTCTGTACAGAAGTTCTTCACTTGAACCAGTAGATACTTTTCAACTAAATAAAGTCAGTTTCTTTAACATGAATCTGCATGTGGCTTTGACTTCTATAGTATATAGAATCTGGAATCTGCTTCTGGGAGGGAACGGGGATGAAACGCCGTCAGACGGGGGTGAATGCTCTTGGTAAGTAGCCCACTGCACAGCCCACCTCTACCTGAAGCCCCATGCCTACCAGGATGGTGGGGGCTTCTCCTTAACGTCCATCTCTCCCCAGCCCTTCAGATGGAGTTGTCCTGCCCCATCTCCAGGGGGGAACAGGTGAGAAATAGAGACCACCCTTTTCCTCTACAGATGGGGAAACATACCCTCCATGGAAAGGCAGGTGTGAGGGCAGCTCTAGAGACAGGTGGTGGGATGGGGTAGCCGGTGGGCAGGGAAGCAGGGTGAAGTCTGCTGGGAGGAGGACCCCAGAACGAGACACCTTTCTCCTCTTCTCTCTCCTTGGCTGGGTCTCACCTCCAGCTCCTGGATGCAGAGCAGGGACCTGCCCCTGTGTCTCCATCCAGGCTGCACAAGAGACCTGACCTGCTCTCACCAGCCTCCGGCTCTGACCTCCCCGGTGCCTCCTCTGTGGCACGCCCAGGGGTCAGTGGGAGGAGCTTCTCTTGCTCCGGGAGTTCCTTGGTGGAATGCGGACAGCTGGGGGGGTCACAGAGGCCTCTGTGATATCACCACGAGGGGTGGGCAGGCGCGCTTGGAGTGACGTTTCTTTGAGGAGTGAGGGGGGAGACTGAGCAATATGTCAGATAACCAGAGGAGCTGGTGGCAGCAGTGGACCGACACCACCTACATCAAACCTCTGAACCGCTTGGTAGGCGGCCCCTGCCTGGCTGCACTGCCCAGGCTGGGCATGCCGGGGTGGGATGGGGCATGAAAGGACTGGACTGGGTCTGGAGGGGCACGGGCTGCCCTGATGGCCCCCTCCTCACCCTTGCAGAGGGCCGCTCAAGAGCCCTACCAGCGGCCAGAGGAGCAAGTGCTCATCAACCGCCGAGACATCACCAGCAGAAAGGTAATGCTGAGGCTGAGCCTGCAGCCTGTCGGGGGGCTTGCAGCCATCCTCACCCCCACAGTGACCCCTCTGCTGCGGTATCCATGGGGCAGCAGGCCCTCAGAATAACTGCCCCTTCTGCTTCTAAACATCCCAGCAGGGATCCCTGCAGTGACCCACTCCCCAACCATGATATGTTAGTAACTGCCTGACTGTGACCCTCACAGGACCCCCCCTATAATGAGAGCCACTCCCCAGCAGAGACCCCCAAAAGAGTCTCCCTTGCAATGACCCCAACAAGGACCCCCCCCAACCAGGAGTGACCCACTTTTAGTGACTATTTAGGTAATAACCTCTACACTGATGCCCCTGATTCCATGATCCCCTCTCACGCAACTTCTCCCCCTAGAGGTGGCCCCCATGGGTCCCTATTCACTGAGAGCAAACTTCCAGGCAGAGGCCTCCTATGGTGACACCTGCCTGAAGGAAGGTCCCCCGTCCTCTCCCAGGATGCCTGGGACATGCAGGAGTTCATCACGCGCATGTATGTCAAGCAGCTTCTCCGACACCCAGCCTCCAAGGTGCTGCTGGCCGTGCTGCTGGTGGTCAACGCCATCACCATCGCGCTCCGCACCAACTCCATGCTTGGCCAGGTGGGACTCCAGCCTGAACCCTCCTCTCACTCATCTCACAGGGGCTGGGGCAAGGCACCTCCCTCCCTGGGCCTCAGACTCCTTATCTTTTCATGATGGTTGGATTGGATGATTTTCAAGGACCTGTCAGCACTGAGATCAGGGAAGACTTTGTGGTGGAAGGGGCCCAGCTTTGAGAAATGCTTTAGATTTGCAGAGGAAGGAAAGGAGAAAAACGTTGTGAGCAGAGGCAGGCCAATGGGTGTCTTGTGGGAAAGGGTATCCCATTTTAATCAATAATCACTGAGCAAGAATCACTCTGCAGCAGATACTGTTCTCTGTGCCAGGTGTGACTACAACAGACCAAGGTCTGTCTCAGACAGACACCACAAACATATCATTGCAAATGCCTGGGTGTCACAGAGTGTGTGGAAGCTCAAAGGAGGCATTGGACCTAATCTTGGGGCCAGGAGGGCTTCCTGGAGAAAGGGACATTTAAGTGGAGAATAAAGAATGAGCAGGTGTTGGCCAGGCAGAAAGAGGTTGAGAAGAATGTTTTGGGAAGAAGAAGTGAGTTCTGGGTATCCAACTTGAACTCCACTATGACTTGGGTCTTACCCTTGAGGTTTTAATTTCTTACAAGGAGTCCACCACATACGTGAATTGTCCTATTGAAAGCCAGTGTTTTTAAAATGTTCCTATGTGGTGACTGGTAAGTTCAGAGAGGCAGTCAACAGCCAGATCACACAACATCTTCAAGTTATATTAAGGAGGATGTCTTTGGAAAGCCAAGATTTGTTTTTTTATTTTTTACTTTTATTTTTAAATTGAAGTATCATTGATTTACAGTGTTGTGTTAATTTCTGCTGTTTGGCAGTGATTCAGTTATGCATGCATATATACTTTTTAATATTCTTTTCCATTAAGGTTTATCATAGAATATTAATATAGTCTCCTGTGCTATACAGTAGGACCTTGATGTTTATCCAGGCAAGCCCGGCTTTAAAGTATGGCAACGTGAGAGTGATTGGCATCCAGGGAGCTGGTTGCCAAAGCTCAAGGAATGGATGAGCTTGCCTGGGACTGAGTACTGAGTGAGAAGGGGGGGCCAAGACAGAGGTCTCTGAGAAGAGCCTCTAAGTAAAGGGCAGAAAATAGAAGAGGAGATGCAAAAGGGTAGTAAGGAGGATCGGCTAGAGGAGTGAGAGGATCCCCGGGAGAGTACGTTACCAAGGGAGCAAGCGCAGCGTTAGATCTGGCTAGGACAGGAGGCCAGAAAAGGACTCTGAAACATCCCTTGGATCTTGCCCTTGTGACCTTGACAGGAGCTAATTCTGATGTGGTGAAGGCAGAAACCCACCTGCCAGGGTTTGCAGAAAGAGTGACTGGGGGGCAGATCAAAACCCATCAATGGATCATGAAAACAATTCAGAATGCAGGTAGCGGCATTTTGATGTAGAATGAAATAAAATGAAAAAGAATGAAGTAGAAACTGTGGTGGGGAAGAGAGGGAGGGGAGGAGCCAGAGGGAGAGAAAGCATTATGGAGTGAAATATATATTTCTTTGAGTCCAAGTCAAAAATGCTAAGAAAGTCTGGTAGAGGGTGTGTGCCGTGAAGCTCAGATCCTAGAGACCTGTGAACACCAGACTGGTTTTGTACCTCACTCTGCAGGCCATAGGGAGTCATGGAAGATTTGTGGGTAAAGAAGGCAACTCTGATTTAGCCACAGATGCTCATGACTTGCAGAGGGCAGGGCGACTGTTCAGGAAGCTCTTTCAATAAACAGTAAGGAGAGCCTATTGCCACCTGTGGCCAATGGGGTAGAGCTGAAGGGAAAGACAAAGGGAAGGAAAAAGCCTTTCCTTGTTTTAGGTAGACACCTCTAGCCCATGATGCCATTAGGGAATTTGGAACAGGCTGGAAGCCCATAAACTTCAGCTTCCATCTGAACTTAAGAAGCTCTGCCCAGGGAATTCCGTGGTGGTCCAGTGGTTGAGACTCCATGCTTCCACTGCAGGGGGCATGGGTTCAATCCCTGGTCAGGGAAGTAAGATCCCACATGCTGTGCAGCGTGGCCAAGAGAAAAAAAAAAGCTCTGTCCAGCCTCACGATGGCTGGTGGATGGAGCTGGTGGCAAGGTGTGGGGAGCAGGAGGCTTGAAGCCCTGAGTCTGTGGGCCACAGAGGTAAAGAAAAGGGGGAGCCAGGTGACTTTTGTAACTGGCAAGTGGAATCGGGGGGCTGGGAGCTGTTCATGTCACAAACAACAGCAGTGTCACAGCTGAACAGGAGATGGCATGAAAGTGAGTTGTTTTAAACAGAATTCAGAATCATGGAGTCATCCATCCATCAATCCATCCACCCCGGGAGCATGTCTTGGACCCATGTGTAGGGGGATACTCAGGAGTTTGGTCAAGCCAAGCCTGGGGATTTGGGAGCTGGTGCAGCCGGAGTGGTGGAGACAGCCAAAGAAGCAAGGGTGGGACTTGGTGTCCTCCAACTCAAGGGCCAGGGCTTTTCCTCCAATCCTGGAGTCTGTTCTGCCTTTCTCCACCTCTCTTTTCCTACTCTAGAGGTTAGGGACAAAGGTTTATAGTCGGACAACAATCTTTATCACTAAATGTTTGAACTTGGGCACCTCTCTGATTCCTCAAGTGCAAGATGGGAATAAAAACTACTTTGCAGGACGATGGTGATGGTAACGTGAAATAAGTTTGTGGTTTTAAGAATGGTGCCTGGCACGTATGTGCAAGGGATAATTTAAAGGGAACTACAAAGATGCTGAGGCTGAAGAGCAATAAGAATCTGGGCCTCCCCTTCCCTACAGATGTCCTCTGTCCCTGGTCTTGCCACGGCCCCGCTCCACTGACCTCTCTGCCCTTCTTTCTCTCTGTCTTTCATATAGAAACACTATGAGTTGTTCTCTACCATAGATGACATTGTGCTGACCACCCTTATCTGCGAGCTGCTTCTCGGCTGGTTAAATGGTTTCTGGATTTTCTGGAAGGTGAGATCCTGGGCCCTCCCTGCCATCACCTCTACTCCTCCTTTGGGTTGGCACCCCATCCTGTCCTCACCACTGTGTACCTGGCCTTCCTGAAACCTGAGGAGTGTGTGTGTGTGTGAGTGCATGTGTATGTTCATGCGCATGCATGAAGAAAGACTGACTTCTGAGATGTCTGTGATGTGGCAGAAAGTAATTTGTACTGGAAGTGCAGGCTTCCTGGGTCCCCATTCCTGATCCAGCTTTCCCTAGTTCTGTGCTCTTGGGAAAACCTTGACTTGCTTATCAGAGAAATGCAACTGAGAGTATCCACCTTAATTTACCCCTGGGTTGGGAAGATCCCCTAGAGGAGGGCCTGGTAACCCACTCCAGTATTCTTGCCATGGACAGAGGAGCCTGGTAGGCTACAGTCCATAGGGTTGCAAAGAGTCAGACATGGCTGAAGTAACTTCGCACACACACACACACACACACACACACCTTAATTTACAGGGTTCAAGAACAGAGGGGTCAGCAGAGATTTTCTGTAAAGGGTGTTGACCTTAAAAATAATTAAGTCAGTTATTTTACCAGCAAAACAAAATGGGGGCTTTACATGGGAATAGAAGAGGATTTGCAATTCAGGACTAGCAAGCTATAGCAAAAGGCACAGCAAGTCCAAAATGGAGAGGAATGTTATTTTATGGAAAAAAAGGAGGCAGTTAGGAGAGGTTGATTTGAACCAAAGTATGTTGGAGAAAAGTGAGAGTGCAGGGTGAGATGGTCTTATTAACTGAGTTGCTAGAATGCTATATTTCTTGCAGGAGATGCTATGTACCTCTTTTCCTGTGGGGCCTATAATTGATGATTCTTTCCCCTTTAGTGATTATTCTGTTGAGTCTGTAATTGACAATTCTTCCTGTAATCGACCAGTAATCTAGTGGTACTGCATGGGAGCGCCCCCTTTTGGCCATCCTATTGCATTGCAGGGAGGTTTCCCTATGATTTTCTCAAGGGCCAGGTAAATATTTTAAGTTTTGCGGGCCATATAGTCTCTTGCAAACACTCTTCTCTGCTATGAGAGCACAGAGTAGCCATAGACAGTATATAGACAAATGAGCATGGCTATGTTCCAGGTAACTTTTATTTGTGGATACTGACATTTTGAACTTTAAATTTTACATGTAATGAAATATTATTTTCCTTTTGATTTCTCCCCAACCATTTAAAAACATTAAAATCATTCTAAATCCATGGGTCTTAAAAAAAAAAAAGAGGCTGCTGGTCAGATTTGTCCTTGAGCTATAGGTTGCTGACTCCTATTTGGGAGAGTATCAAAAAGATATCTGGGTAGGAACACCCTCTTTCCCGGCTGGAACCATGGAGGGTGCAGAAGAGAAGAAAAAGAAGGTTCCTCCTGTGCCAGAAACCCTTAAGAAAAAGTGAAAGAATTTCGCAGAGCTTAAGATCAAGCGCCTGAGAAAGAAGTTTGCCCAAAAGATGCTTTGAAAGGCAAGGAGGAAGCTTATTTATGAAAAAGCTAAGCATTACCACAAGGAATACAGGCAGATGTACAGAACTGAAATTCGAATGGCTAGGATGGCACGAAAAGCTGGCAACTTCTATGAACCCGCAGAACCCAAATTGGCATTTGTCATCAGGATCAGAGGTGTCAACAGTGTGAGCCCAAAGGTTCGAAAGCTGCTGCAGCTCCTTCGCCTCTGGCAGATCTTCAATGGCACCTTTGTGAAGCTCAACAAGGCATCAGTTAACATGCTGAGAATTGTGGAGCCATACATTGCATGGGGGTGCCCAAATCTGAAGTCTGTAAATGAATTGATCTACAAGCGTGGTTATGGCAAAATCAACAAAAAGCGAATTACCCTGACAGACAATGCATTGATTGCTCAACCTCTTGGGAAATACGGAATCATCTGCATGGAGGATCTGATTCATGAGATCTATACCGTTGGAAAATGTTTCAAAGAAGCAAACAACTTCCTGTGGCCCTTTAAATTGTCTGCTCCACGAGGTGGAATGAAGAAAAAGACCACCCATTTTGTAGAAGGTGGAGATGCTGTCAACAGGGAAGACCAGATCAACAGGCTTATTAGAAGGATGAACTAAGGTATCTGCCAGGATTATTTTTGTAATCTGGTCCGTTAGTAAACAATTGAAACAAACAAAAAAAAAGATCTGGGTGGGAACAGATCTTAACATTATGTAAAACGAAACAAAGACTCAAATTCTTTGTTTAAATAGGACTTCTAGAGTCAAAGGATTTCTGGATTTTCTGTCAAGGGATTTATCTTCCTTTGGGCATGTGCAAGAAGAATCTTTAAAAAAATTACCCATCAAATCTTTATACCTTCTTAAAAAGGAAGCATCACTTAAATACCATTATCAGGCCAACCAACTAGAATTATAAGCTTTCCAGGGCTTAGAAGTGTCACTTCATAGAACACAGAATGTAGAACCTAGAACAATCTTTCTAAAGTATGGATGTCTTAAAGCCTGCTTGTGAGAACAACACTTGGGAGGGTATTTATTAACAGAAAATAGAATAGGATGATGCATATTTACTTGTCTCCATGGTGGAGGGGAGAATAGGTACCATGATTTTGTGAATATTTCAATGTATCACTTCAGGATACAGGCAGATATTTGTTCCCTAAGAGAGCATTTCTTACGTGAAAGTAGCCCTGAGATTTCTTTTGTTGCCCGTAGAAATTGTTCAGAGGCTAGATAAGAAATTCAGGCAAGACTTTGTTAGGGCCTCTGCAGTAGCAGTGGGGAGTGAGAACAAGTAACAGTTTCCTTTGCTCATCTTTCCGGGACTCCTTATATGAGGTGAGGGTAGTGGTGTGACCAGGGGTCAGACTGGAGGGGCGGTTTAGGTGGTTTGACTGCCCTTTTGGTGGTGGTGTGTGCAGGAGGCATGTGCAAGTACTGCTTTTGTTTACTGCTTTTGACCCCTTGTGTTTGCTCCCAACCCCCCGCTTTTGCTCCAGCTCTTCAGAAGTAGCATTTGGACTGTTGGTCTTTTTGTATCTTGTTGTCCATAATTTGCCCCAACTGCTCCTGCAGGCAGTTATTTTTAGTCTCTTACAGTTTATTTGTATTGCTTGAGGAAGTCTGTCCAGGTGCAAGCATTGCAGCAAAGGGTTCCAGGTTCCAGCCTGTCTCATTTGCAGGAGCAGTTAGGAGGGCCTGCACTTTCGAGGCTAAACTCTAGCGTTTCATCAGCACAAGAGAATGGGAGCAAATTTTGTGTTCCTCCCAGCCACTCTGCGTATCTCCTCAAGGACAAGATTTCTCACCCTTGGCACTGTTGACATAATTGGCCTAGATAATTCTTCATTGGGAGGGGACTGTCCTATGCATTGCAGAATGTTTAGCAGCATTCTTGGCCTCTACCCATTAGATGCCATTACCATCTTCCAAGCTGTGACAATCAAGGATACCTCCAGACACTGCCAAACGTGCTCTGGAAGGCAAAACCGCTCTCCAGAACTGATGGCTGAAAACGAATGTCCCAAACCCTAACCTTTATCTGGGGCCAGCCTCCCAGTGCCAAAAGCCAAAGCTTGTTAGAGACCCTCTGCCGTCTTCTTCCCCACTCCCAGCCCCTCTCCTGGTCCCAGTATACAAGGACTCCCCACTTAATGGGTGGATGGAAAGGGAGAAGGCAGGGGAGGGAGGAAAATCTGCAAGTTAATATCTCAAGTATTACCCAGCCACATGGGGATCCCCAAAGTTGCGCCCCCAGTGCTCATGTGGCTCCTGTCTCCTTACCTCCACAGTCTATTAATTGCTATTTTGCCACCTAACTTTCTCAGTTTTCTTGCCACCTCTGCAGCTCTGGTACCCCATTCTAGTTCCTGTCTTGTCTTCTCACCAGGGTGTTGCTATGGCTTCCAGTGTACCCCATCTGCCATCAAAATAGTTTTCCCAAAGCCCAAGACAGAGTACCCTTAAACATTCCAGTGGCTTCTAGTTGTTTACAGGATCAGGTCTAAATGCCTCATTGTGATATGATCCACGTTCTTGGCCTTCTCCAATCAATAGAAACTGACTGGAGGCCAGACAAGAGATTCAGGCAAGGCCTTCTAGGGCCCCCGCTGCTGCAGAGGGGAAGGAGAACGTGTAACAGACTGTCTTGTTCCTTCAATCCCTGACCTGTGAGGCAAGGTTGTTCCCTACATGGGGTGGGGGTAGGGGTGTGTCTGGGGTCAGACTGGAGGGATGACTTAGGTGATTTGCCCATCCCTTAGGTAGTGTTGTGTGCAGGGGGCATGTGCAATACCCTGATTTTGCTCCCAGCATCCTGTTTTTGCTCCTGGCTCTTTAGAAGTGGCTAATTGAGTTTTTTGGTCTTTTGGTATCCAGAATTTCTCCCGTCTGCACATGCACTTAGTTATTTTTAGTCCCATATAGTTTCTTTGTATTTTGTTGCTGGAGTAGAGGTGTGTCCAGGTGCAAACATTGCAGCACTGTAGCAAAGAGTGCCAGGTCCCAGCCTGTCTCAGTTGTGCTTAAGGCTTTCTGTGAAATGGCTCCTATCTGCTTTTGCAGACTTATCACCCCTCGCCTCACCCTTGGGTGTTCCAGCTACATCAAGCTGCTTGTAGTGACATTCCTAAAGACACACTTACAAGTGTGCACACATGCACATACACATATATAGGCACACTGCTGTTGCTCACTTTCATGCCTTTGTCCATGCTGACACCTAGTCTATGAACGCTCCTTACCACTTACTCACTTGCTTTTCTCCTACTTATAGTTTAAGACTCCTTCAGATGTCTCCTCTTCCAGGAAGTCTTCCTGTTTCTCCTAAGCTAGGTTAGTTGTTGCTCTGTTTCCTTAACACTCTGTACTCACCTCTCAGTTCAGTTCAGTCACTCAGTCATATCCGACCCTTTGTGACCCCATGGACTGCAACACGCCAGGCCTCCCTGTCCATCACTAACTCCCGGAGTCTGTCACCAGGAGTTAAAATTTACTGTCTGTCCACCTCCCTCAAAATAGCCTATGAGCTCAGCAGGGCAGAAGTCCTGTATCTTCAGGATCTGATTTGAGGTGTGGCATATAGTAGGAGCATAATATTGAATGGATACAGGGATGGATCTATAGGCAGGCAGCCTTGTGTCTCCTTGTGTTTGTTTAGGCACCAACACTCTGAATGTGACATACCAGGAGGTCTTGTGTTTATTGAACTGCCCAATAAATTTAAGAACTTTTTTCCCATTAAAGTAATTTTTTCAAAATAAAATAGTTTTCTTTTTGGAACTTCCCTGGTGGTCCAGTGGCTAAGATTCCATGTTCCCAATGCAGGAAACCCAGGTTCAATCCCTGGTCAGGAAACTAGATCCCACATGCTGGAACCAAGTCTTGTTGCAGCCAAATAATATTTTTTCAAAACGGGGGAAAAAAAAATTTTTCTTTTTTTTTTTTAGTTCTACCACTTTATTGCTACCAACCCATCTCCCTCCATCCTCGTGCACACATGCTCAGTCATGTAACCCCATGCACTGCAGCCCGCCAGGCTCCTCTGTCCATGGACTTTTCCAGGCAAGAATACTGGAGTGGGTTTTCTTTTTGAATATTTAATGCAGCTACATATTGGTCAAAACTGTCCTGGAAGGAGCAAACAAAATCCTTGTTTCTACTCTGTCCCTTCATCCCTTTCCCCTACCCCCACCCTCTTCAGATAATCTTTGTTATTTATAATCTCGTTTATCCTCCTAGTGTTTATTTTGCAATCATAAGCAAATATGTATATATTCTTAGTCCTCCCTTCCCAGACAGTAGCATAGCGTAAATGCTGTTGTACACTTTACTTTCGTCATTTAATGGGTCTTTCTGTGTCAGTACATGGAGACCTTTCTCACTGTTCTGTACTCCATTGAATGAATGTGCAGTAGTTTAGCCAGCCAGTGTTCTATTATAATTGTTGGACACTTCAGTTATTTTCAGCCTTCTACAAATGTCATTTTGTAGTTGTACCAGAGTTTGTGTGGAATGGATTTCTAGAAGTGGGATCACTGGTCGAAGGTAAAGGCAGACTGTTTATTAGAGAAAATCTCCCCCGTAGTGGTTGTGTCTGAATTTGTCATGCCTGTGAGCTTCCCTCCTGCGTCTGTATTCTAAAGGAGCTTGTGCTGTGTTGGACACGGGGCTTGCAAACTGTGCCTTTACAGTGAGAGTTAGCTCACCTCTGAAGTGGCTATTGAAGCCCTGTTCCTTAGCGTTTTCATTTATGTTCATTTTATTAACTGTAGTCTGTGTCCCACAAAGCTGGAGCATCCAAACACTCTCAGGTCACCTAATTGCAGGGCAAAGCCTTTGTCAACGGCACACTAGCCAAGGTGGGCGATAATCAGCTTAGGAACTGGCGTGTGTGAGGGGCTCGACTGTGTGTTCAGACACTGCACTTGGCTGTGGACATGTGTATGAGACAGCGAGTGCGTAGGTGTTTTGTGGCATGTTTGGGGGTCGACAGCAGGACTGCAGTGAATGGCACGTGACTGGCCCGGCTCCGAGAGCACCGTGGAGTCCCCCATCCTGAGGGTGTGGGGAGGGCAGACCCAGGATGAACCCATGGGCTGGGCCTGACAGACCCTGCTGGGGCTGGCCCACCCCCCCAGGACGGCTGGAACATCCTCAACTTCCTTATCATCTTTATCTTGCTCCTGGGGTTTTTCGTTACTGAACTCAATGCCGTCGCTATCACCTACACCCTCAGGTAAGCTGGGGACTCGGAATGAAGAAGGGACCTGTCTGGATCCTGGGAGGGAGGGGAGGGGATGGTTGCAGGTGGGGCGATGGTGGGGGGGGGTGTTGGGAAGGGCCGAGGGGGCGCCCTGAGAGGCTCTGCCGCAGGGCGCTTCTTCTGCTGCACTTGTGCGTGGGGGTGGAGCCTCTGGCCCGGATCATTCGCGTCATCCTGCAGTCGGTGCCCGACATGGCCAACATCATGGTCCTCATCCTCTTCTTCATGCTGGTCAGTGCCCTCCCCTGCCCCCAGCCGCCCCCCCCCCCCCTTTCCTGAACAGGCCCCTGGGTCTCTGGGGATACAGGGTGTCTGGAGCAGAAAGAAGGAGGCTTTGGGGATGGGAGGAGGAAAGGCCTGCCTCCCTGCGATTCCCCTGGCAGCTTCTCTGCATGTGCTGTGTCCCAGGCCTGTGGGTGAAGTCCGCGGCGGGTCTCCCGTCTCTCTGGCAGGTGTTCTCCGTGTTTGGGGTCACTCTCTTTGGTGTGTTCGTGCCCAAGCATTTCCAGAACATTCAGGTTGCCCTGTATACCCTCTTCATCTGCATCACCCAGGATGGCTGGGTGGACATCTACAGTGACTTTCAGTGAGTGCCCATGGGGCTTCCGGGCCCCCAGTCCAGCTGAGCTAGGCAATGAGGGGCTGGGGCATCCAGGGGCAGAAAAAACTACCTGGGGAGGGAGAAGGGCTCTCAGGTGGGAGTGAGGATCCAGGGCTTGGGATGAGGGTGGCAGGAGGTGGGGGGAGGGTGCCTGGGGCTTTAAACTGGAGAAAAGCGGACTCCTGGGGCTGGGACCTCTAGCTTTGTAATCTACTTGAAGCCTTGTCCCTATGAAACTCCATGTATTCAAAGGCCCGCGGCAGTCTTGTTCATGGACCACAGTCTCCCTTCATGCTCAGCAGTTGGGCAGCTTGGCCTTGGGCCAGGCAGCAGGCCTGTGGTTGCATCTAGGGTCCCAAGGCAGCTCCCAGTCCACACTGGAGCCCACCAGACTGCCTCGACTCCTAGGAATGTAAGGTCTCATTTTATTCATTTTGAGACCCACTGTCCAAGGTCATGTTTGGCCACAGAGGGCTGCCTGGGTTCTGTTCTTTACCTCTTTCCATTTAGCCCAAATCCTACTTGTTTCCAGGCCATTTCAGGGGCTTGATCCCCCTGACTGATTTCTTTTTATCTCCCTCGTGCGAAAGTAGAAGCCCAATTGGTAAAGGGGCTTCTACTCTCATTACCCATTATGTTATAGACAGTGGACAAGTCATGGAATGTGCGATAAAGGTGGCCTGGGCTTTTGAGTCTTTGCTCCACTGTACTAACCATGCAACCTTCTGAGCCTCAGTTTCCTCATCTGTCAACTGGAGATGATAATACGATATTTAACCATGTCATGGGTTGCTCTGAGGATTAGTAGAGACTGGCATTGTGCACACACATTCACACATTCACATGTGTAGCAAGAGAGCGAAAGCTATTATTTGGGAAAATATTTTATGGAAGGTTTGCAATAGGTATTAACGGTGGTGGGATCTTTTTCCTGTTCATTTTCCCTCTGATTTTTCTATCATGAACCTGAGTTATAATAAGAATGACATGATAAAGAGTACAGCCAGTAGCTGAAATTTGATAATGCTGGTGTATGAATCCTCACCTTGCAGGGCTGGCTTGAGGACAGCCCACTGGCAGTACAGCGGATGCTCATTCAAGAGCAGCTGTGGGGACAGTTAGGAGTCAGGCCTTAGATCTGCACAGCAGCAGGGAGGCGACAGAAGTCCCAGTAGGCTTTGAGATAATTTCTCCCATCTCGTAGATGAGGAAACTGAGGCCCAAAGGGCCAGGGAGGTGATAGGGTCCCTGACTGCCATCTCCAGGATGGAGACAAGAGAGTACGGAGTGGAGATTGGGGGCGCCATCTACTTTGCCATCTTCATCACCATCGGTGCCTTCATTGGCATCAACCTGTTGGTCGTCGTGGTGACCACCAATCTGGAGCAAATGATGAAGGCAGGACAGGGGCAACAGCATCAAATAGACTTCAGTGAGGTGAGTGAGATAGGGAGGGCAGAGGGGGGAAGGGGAGAGTGTATATGAGTGCTACCTTGAGTGTGTGTGTGTGAGTGAGTGTGCTCACACATTTGAGGGCCTAAAGAAAGCCAAGCCTGAGGCCTAAAGGCAGCAACCCTCACTTTGAGTGCCAACTCACCAACTGGGGCTTCTAAGGGGTGTGGCGTTCCTAGATGTCTTGCTCTGTGACAACTTGAAAGTGAGCAGCTGGGAGGCCTTAGGGCATTTAAACCAATCTAAACCTCAGTTTCTTCTTCTATAAAATTGAAGTGATGATAATTCTATGTACTTCATAGGGCTATTATGAGAATTTCATGGGTCAGTGAACAGTACTTGGCACATATTAAGAACTCGATGAACATTAGCTATAGTGTTACTCATCCAGGGGTAGAGCTTCCGAAAGGTGGGGAGTATTGTATAAAGTGTTGAGGGCTGTGGACTGTGACCCGAGAGTATTTAGGGTTTCAGAGGTTTGCTGGGTAGGGTTTATCAGGAGGGAAATGATGGGGGATGCATTAAGTTGTGGAAAGGGGTGAGAATTTTCAGAGGTGAGGGACAGACTGCTGCATTTCAAGTTGAGCTCCCACAGTCAAGGAGGGGAGGCTAAGACTGGTTGGAGCTGAAACGAGGGGCATGAGAACCCTGGCATCCTGAGACTCGTCTCCCCTGAAGTCAAGCAGGAAGGGGCCAGGGGAGGGGGTCCCGGCAAAGCTATCCTTCCCTCTCCACTCTCCCTTCCCCAGGTAGACAACAAGAAGGGAAATGGGAATAACAAGCTGCCGCTGGTGCACTGTGCAGTGGCCCGTTCGGAGATGCCTGGCGTCCCCCAAGAGCCATTTATGGGGGGCCCCCTGACAAACCTCTCGGAAAGGACATGTGACAACTTTTGCCTGGTGCTCGAGGCGATACAGGAGAACCTGATGCAATACAAGGAGATCCGCGATGAGCTCAACACGTAGGGCGGGTACTGGGGGTACCCCCCGAGTCTCATGAGTCAGGGCTGAGTGGACCCTCAGATTCTTCTGGCCTCACACCCTCATTGATAATGGGGACCCTGGGACCCAGAGCGGTTAAGTGACTTGCCCAGCCCCCACCCCCAGCCTGTCTGTGCAGGATATATATCTCCTTGTAATCTCACAGGGGGCCTTGAGCCTTGGCCTGGGTCTCTATCAGAGTCAAGGAGGGGAGGGCGCAGGGGGCTGGACCCCAGGGGAGAGATGGAGGGGCCGCCCCCCAGCCCCTTCCCTTGGAACGCACTCACCCCTCCACCTTCAGGATAGTGGACGAGGTCCGCTCCATCCGCTTCAACCAGGAGCAGGAGGAGGAGCTGCTGCAGAGGCGCTTGTCATGGAACATATCCTTGGAGAGCAAGTCCTCCGTGGACATCCGTGAGATGACTCGCGAGCAAGACTTGATCACCGCGCTCGTCAACAGGAAAAAGGTGCAGCTTCTCAGCTTCCCTCTCCTACCCAATCAGTGCTCACCCCTCACCTCACCCAGCCCAGCCACCACTCCCTTAGTCAAGGTTTCTGACTCTTTCACGGTCTGGCCCGCCCCCCTGGGCTCCCAGGCACCCCAGCAGTCACTGCCCATCTGGTTAGATTTCAGCTTTTCTGGGAGGCCCAGGGCTCCACACACTAAGCCATCTTGGTCTTCAGCGCCCTCAAGCTTCCTCTTAAGGGGACTTGAGCAGCTCAGTTCCTGCTTGGTGGCAGATGCTTAGGTCCACCAGGGGGGCATAGGACCCCCCAGGTCTTGTCAGGTACGTAAGAGGAGCAGCCTCCTGAGGGAGGAAAATTCTAGGGAGAAAAAGGCCATGCCCCGCTCTAGGGATCTTCCTGAACCAGGGATCAAATCCACATCTCTTGCATTGGCAGGCGGGTTCTTTGCCCCCGGCACCACCTGGGAAGCCCCATAGAACAAGGCACATTCCCACACATTTCGTTTCCTTCTCTGCTTCCCATCCCATCTGACCTGGGAGCCTTATGGGTGTCTGTGGCCTGAGAGGAGAGCTCCACGGTCAGAGAGGAGACTAACAGACGGGAAGGACTTCCCTGGGAAGCCAGGATGAGCCGCTGTTGAGCTGGAGGAGGGGAGTAAGGGAGCCTCTGCCATGTCGGCGGCGGGGGATTGACAAGAAGACCTCTTGGTTTGCAGGTTCAGGAATCCAACACAAATGTTAACAAACACAAGACCAGCCGCTGAGAGGGCAGTGCAGGAGCCAATGGGCATGAGCGCACACCCAGCTGCTGCATCTTCCTGCATCGCTAGCATGACTTGGCACATCCTGGCCTGAGCCCATCCTCTGCCTTACACCTGGGCAGATGCCTGGGGATGGAAGGGGGTGGTATCTCTAGGACTTGGGCCTGTGAGGCCCCAGGTCCAGAGGAGCACGGATGGAGAAGGATAGTGGATAAGAGTGGGAGCCTTACAGCAAGGACGAGCCCACAAGGGGGTGCTGGCCAGGGCAGCCAGGATTTGCCCTCAGGATGGGCATCCCTGGTCCCCTGCTAGACCAGAACTAGATGGGGTCTAAGCGGGCCCAAGTACCAAGAGGAGAAAGATGAGGCCGGTGGGGCCAGGTATCATGTATCGACAATAAAGTTTTATGTTGGGATTAATGTGTCTGACTGGTAGATAGACCTCCAAAACCTTTGGGGGCAGCCTTGCCCCCTCAAAATCCTCTTTCGTCGGACGAGAGAGTCACTGGCTGTCCCTCAGAGCTTCCAGTCTAATGGGAGAGAGAATCTACAGCCTGAAAATTTTTGATTTAATGGTAGAGAGATAATTCCTGCCTTAGGGTCCTAAATTTGAAGGGTGAAAGTCTGGTCTTCAGGGTTGGGAGTGCCTCTCTGATGGAAACACCTACCCTCTCTCTCTGTCTGAAGGTGTAAAACACTGGTCCTCATTCTGGAGAGCTCTAGTCTCATGGGGTCACCATTGACCAAGTCATGCAGGTATGGAAACTCCATCCTGGGTCAATGGAGAATGAAATGTGGGTCCTGGCAGGCTCTCTGGAGGAGAAGAGCATGGAAGGCAGCAGGAGGAATTTGAGGCTCAGGTGAATGAAGTCTGGTAGAGAACTTGGGACCTGTGAGACCTCTTTGGGACCTTCACAGTAAGACCACTGAGAGCCACAGCAGGTCCCTGAGCTAGGCAATTCAGTCTGACAAAGTGGTGGCGGTGGTGGACACTATGAAGAGCTGACTTGATGGATGCTCATTCTTGGGTAAGTCACCAGGCCTCATTTTGCCCATTGGTGCAACTGGGAGAGGATAAGATTGAGCGCCAGTTCTAAAATCAAATGGCCAGAACTCAACTCCCTGGAGTTGGGAGGCTGATGAGATCAGCCATGTGACTGAGACTCAGGTTCCCTGCTGTTGTGTGAGAGAAAGACTGGAAGGCCCAGAGTTCTGCCCGGCTGTTCAGCATACACTGACAATTAGGGGCCTTGGGGACAGTCACCAGTTGGAATGGGAATCCCCAGAGGTCCACTGATTGCAGCTGATGGGAAACTCCACCCTTCATTCCCTCCCATGGGCATGGCTTCCAGCCCTGAAAAGCCCCCTGGGGCCTGCTGGGAAGGAGTCTGGAACACTAGGGCAGGGCTGGGACACTCAGCAGGCAGGTGGGAGGTCACACCAGCGCCAGCAGTTCCTCACAGTCTTGGAGGTGCTGTCTGTGCCTCCGTTTGGACCAGGACTCCCTGCCAGTGACCTCCGGGACTATCGACCGGCAGAACGATGGGCGGACAGTGGCTTTTGCTGCTGCTGCTGCTATTAATTGGGGATGGAGCCCTCCATCTTCCTGGTGAGTATCCACACACACCCTTTCCACCCATCCTTCTCTGGGGGCTCTCACAGCCCATCTTCTGGCTCACCAGGGAGGGGAAGCGGGTGGTGGAAGATGTTAGTGTCTGTCCCTAGGAAGAACTTATGTGAGCATAGCCATCTCCAACCCACCCCTAAATGATCTTAAGCCTTAGGGCACCCATGAGCTTGGGGGGCAGGGCAGGAACATGATGGGATGACCTCCAAAGAGCTTCTGGCTTGGCCTGTCCATCCTCACTCAAGACGCTATCCTCATCTACTTCCGTGTCGTCTGTCATCTCAGCCATCTCCCCTTTTCTGTCTGTCCTTTCCATCTGCTCTGGGCCAGTAGCTAGGGGTTTCAATAGGCTAGTTCCCCCTCAATCTGGTCTAGAACTGAGGGCCCCTGCAGGGGCTTGGACCCCTGCTGCCCTCCCCTGCCCTACCCCAACTGCCACCGGCAATGTCTCACTGAGCCCAACAGAGGAGTGCAGCCCTGGATCCTGAGTTCATGGGACAGTGCAGGGGAAGATATGGGGAGCTGTCAGGAAACTGCATGTGTCATCAATCTCCTGAATCACGACTTTTTCCAAGACCGGGTGTTTCCTTGGCAAAATAATACCCAGGAAGCAGATACCAGTTTTGGTGAGAAGCACAGGAGGGGAAATCATTACCAGCAGCAGGTTCTGCTTGTTGAGCACCTACTGTATGCTCAGCACTGTGCCAAGTGCTTCCTATGCATTGTCTCATTTAATCTTTATGAGCACCCCTGAAATAGGCACTGGTATCACTGCTGTTTTACAGTTGAGGAAACAGACTTGGAGACATGAAGTGGTTTGTCTGCTCATCACAGCACTAGGAGTCTGTCCCAGGTCTGGTTTTGGAGTCCATGCCAGGCTCCATTGCTTCTCAAAGGAGCTGCTGTGGGCAGGAGACCTCCATATCATATACATGTGAATTCTTGCTGCTGCTGCTGCTAAGTAGCTCCAGTCGTGTCTGACTCTGTGTGACCCCATAGACGGCAGCCCACCAGGCTCCCCCATCCCCGGGATTCTCCAGGCAAGAACACTGGAGTGGGTTGCCATTTCCTTCTCCAGTGCGTGAAAGTGAAAAGTGAAAGTGAAGTCGCTCAGTCATATCTGACTCCCAGCGACCCCAGGGACTGCAGCCTACCAAGCTCCTCCGTCCATGGGATTTTCCAGACAAGAGTACGGGAGTGGGTTGCCATTGCCTTCTCCGTGTGAATTCTTAGCAAACCTCTAATTGCAACACACTTCCAATCAAAATCACAGTGGGGTTTTTTGCAAAAGCTGATATGCAGATTTCAATACATATGAGGGAGAACAAAAGGTCAACAATAGCCAAGGTAACTTTGAAGAGCAAGATGGGAGACTCGCTCCACCTGATACTGAGACTTACATTAAAGTAACAGTAAGATAATGTGGTGTTGCAGCAATAGACAAGCGAACCAAGGGAATGAAAGAGCAGGAAAATCAGTCTTGATGCATAACAATGGTAGCCTGACAAACCAGTAGGGAAAGGACAGACTTCTCCAAAAGGGGGCAGAGACAACTGGTTAACCACATGGAAAAAAAAACATAAAATCAGATCCAGTGGAAACATCTGTCCCTGAAACTAAAAACACAAGACCCCTGTAGCAGGATCTCTCTTCATTTCAGCCTGGAATTTTGTTGCAAACAGACCTATGGATCACTAGGGTTTAGGGAGGTCTTGTGATACTAAAGTCCAAGTCCCTCACTGTGTTAAGTGGGATGTGCAAGGACTGAGAGAGGTGTGGTCTTCCCCAATATTACACAGCAAGTCAGTAACAGAGCCAGGTCCAGAGCCTAGCTTTTCCTTTCGTGCATCCTGGTCACCACTCCTGTCCTTTTGTGACCCCGTAGCTCTCTTCAGGGATAGAAGAAAGTGAGGGTTGGAAGAAGCAGATGCCAGATGTGGGTGGGGTTGGGGAGAAGTTTCAGTGTCTCTTCAGAGCTAACTGGGGGAAGGACAAGCCCATCACCTGGGCTGGGTCACCTCCGCTTTTCTGAATTAGTCCCTTGACAACTGCCAAGGTTACAATGACAGGGCATCAGGTGATGGACCTATTTCTGCCTATTGCCCAGGAGAGAGAGGAAGGTTTCCAAGGGATACAGCTTAGTGTAACTGATTTGGGCCTTTTTCTCTAGAGAGGGTAGCTGGCTCAGCCATGAGAATAAAGTTGTGTTTTTGTGAAGCAGTGCAGCATAGTAGGGAGGACATTGGGCTCTGGAGTCTGATGGATCTGGTTTCAAATCCAGTGCTACCACTTCCTGGCTGTGCGACCTTGTACAGATGTCTTCCTCTGGCTGAGCCTCAGTTTCTTCATCTGATAAATAGAAATAATAGTCCTTACCTAAGGGTGGATGTGAGGATTCAGGGCACCAAGGCTTGCACATTGGAACAGCACCTTACTCAGACAAGGTGAAAACTGAAGGTTGTCAAAACTATCCTTGACTGCTATTGCAGTAAATGAAGCACTTGGCTTTCAATTAGGGGTCAGGTTGCAAAAAAAAAACACAAGGGTACCTTTAAATATTAAAATCATATTCAATGCAGTATGAAAGTCACATCAAAAAAGGTATTAAGAAATCAAAGATCATGCTCATACATATGCATGTAAATAAAAATTTGTGAGAAGTTACTTTAATAATAATTAGGTGATGAACATAATAAAAAGAAATCAAAGATCAAGTGTGATAATAGATTTCCATCTTTTGCTGACTCTTGTCTCTGGAATAGTCTTTAAGTATAACGAGACATAGTTGCCAGAATTAGTTAAATTAGCACTCCCTGGCATGCATCAGCTAAGATCTACTAGCACAGTTGTTGTTCAGTCACTAGGTTGTGGCCGACTCTTTGCAACCCCATGGACTGCAGCATGCCAGGCTTCCCAGTCTTTCACTATCTCCCAGAGTTTGCTCAAATTCATGTCCATTGAGTCAGTGATGCCATCCAACCACCTCACTCTCTGTCATGCCCTTCTCCTCTTGCCCTCAATCTTTCCAAGCATCAGGATCTTTTCCAATGAACTGGCTCTTTGCATCAGGTGGCCAAATTATTGGAGCTTCAGCTTCAGCATCCATCCTTCCAATGAATATTCAGAGTTGCTTTCCTTTAGGATTGATTGATTTGATCTCCTTGCTGTCCAAGGGACTCTCAAGAGTCCTCTCCAGCACCACAATGTGAAATTCTTTGGCCATCAATTCTTTGGCGCTCTGCCTTCTTTATGATCCAACTTACACATCCATACATGACTACTAGAAAAACCATAGTTTTGACAATACTGACCTTTGTCAGCAAAGTAATGTCTCTGCTTTTTAATATGCTGTCTAGGTTTGTCATAGCTTTTCTTCCAAGGAGCAAGCATCTTTTAATTTCGTGGCTGCAGTCACCATCCACAGTGATTTTGGAGCCCAAGAAAATAAAATTAGCACAGAGCTGGCACATAAATGGTGCAAGCCAGTAATAATATAGTTGGTGTTGATATTACTTAATTGAATCTTGCAATAAAGATATTTGGTAAAGTGAGAACATCTGGATTGGTGGAGGGAACAGGTATACTGGTTTCTTTTTGTTTGTTTTATAGGCATTATGACAACCCGGGGGTCAACTACAACACCCTCCATGAACGACTCTGAAGCTTCGGGAACTACAGAGTATTCCTACACAACTTCATCCAACAGTGGGAGAGACGATGGCCCTGCAGTTTCATCTAATGCTTCACCAACAATCGGGAGGACAACAGTGTCTAAGACCCA